CCGCGCCCGGGCGGGGGGGGGGCGGGGGGGGGAAGAAAAAAAATAAACACACGAAACGTTTTTACCGGCTCGCCGCCGCCGACCGTTACTGCACCACATCTATAAATACGTTCTCTGCTCTCACGTGCCGAACCCGTACTTTTTTCTAATCATTTTATGCCACTGTTCGCCGTTATTATTACTGTTCGTGTAGACGCGTTCGTTATAGCATCAAAACGTAACAATTACGGTTCGGGACTCATTGTACACAAATTTTAGGAAACATGCACTCAAAATAACCAAAATATGCAACCGAATATTTTTTTTTAACGACGGTTAAAATATTTGATTTGTTCGTTGAAATTTAAACATTTTTTTTTTTTTAATTACTCGACATCAATACCACAATATATTACAATGTATGTTCGATTTCATTTTCTTCGTCTTCCCCTATAATGAAAACTAAATGAATACATAACGATAACCGATAGTATACGCAGGGACAATTAGGTATATCCCTTTTTGCCTTGTCGTTCTATGATTACGCATATATTGACAGATGCAAAAAAAAAAATAATGTTAACCTTTAAAATAAATTTAATTGACATCAAACAAAAACTGCGTAAATACGTTGTAAATAACAATTCAATTGCCAACATTTGTCAATTATGCGTTTTGCTCAGAAAACGGTGAAATATGAGAAAATATGCAATTACATATTTTTGTATTTCAGTCCGTTATGACTTAACATAAATTTTTATCTTATTTCGACTATTCTACAATCATTATTAAACAATATTCAAATGCAACAAGTCCCTAACCCTAGTAACAATACAAGGGTCCGACGACGGTACAGGTACGCGTGATCAACTCCAAGTGTTTTTTCACATGCGTGCGATACGCTTGAAATTATTTGGTTGTACATGTTTATTTTTGTTCTGATATCCTACGATTTAAAAAAGAAATTACAAAATGCATACCGAAAATATTATATAGTTATTATGAATGATTACGTTAAAAATACTTCCAGTTAAGTAAGTCTTTTTTTTATTTATATACACTAACGTAAATGATATATCTTTCAAAAGTAAATATTAAATCAAAATTATAAAAAATCGTATTAGATATCTTAATTTTTTTGAAATTAATATTGATTTGTCAATAAAACTCGAAAAATATGTATTTCATTTTACCCAGCCTTTATGTTAAATACACATATTACGTCAAATTTCATTCCACTCCTACCTCACTCAGCGACATAGCTATATCTGTTTTCACAAAAACTATGATTACGAATTAACCTCCGTCATCACTCATCTATATTGCCTGTATCCAGTCCTGATTACTGCAATAAGTTGTATTACACTTGTAACTCACATTAGAATCTTATAATTTTTAACTCAGATTTAACGGTAGAGTCTGGTATAAGACCTAAATATCGCTTATATTTTTTTGTCCATGCCTTTTGTATCCAATTACTATTATACCAATTTGACTTTAACGCGTGTGTTTGGTCGCTAAGCATAAGAAGTTTATACAATTTTAATATTACACAATAAGTACTTGGCATGGACTGACGTTGGATGATATCTATAATCCGGACAGGATGCATAGGGATAAAAATACAATTATAAAAGCCGGTCGCAATCACCTGCTACTACCTCAACTAGGTAATAATAGTACACTCCAAATTTCGTTTTTGTTAAATCCAGTAGGTATATGTTGCCAGACAGGGCTATGGGTACCATTGACCATAATTTTATTGGAACCTTTTAAGAATACATAATGTATAAGGTGTTTGATATAACTGCTGATATAACTACTACCTGCCGGTCTTATTTTACAGTAGACTATAGAGTAGCAGCGTGTAGGTTACCTACTCTATTTATAATACGTGTGGTTGAAAATAAAGTAAAATCAAATTCAGAGTAACAAATGAAAGTAAAACTACTATACACTCATTGTTGAACATTTTTTTCACACCTTTATAGCTTTATCCATACACCTACTTACCTGCAAGAGTGTGGTTTATTGTTGTGTATAGAAAACGATATAATTTAAACCCAATTGGTAGACATTCAGGCATTTTGCCTAATGTATTTTGTTTATCATTCCTTTACAAATGACACGTCTCGAAAAAAAAATGCTGTTATAGATTGTTCATCGTTTTCTAGTATACTTACTTAATATAAGCAAAAGGTAAAACATAATTATCACAATAAATGCCCATATTACATATTAACTATATGAAATATCAATGATACTATTAAGTAAATTGATGCATATTCACAAATTGTATTCGTTTAAATGTTGCAAAATATGAAACTCGGTAAATACCAATCAAAAAGTCAATAGTATAATATTTTGTGAAAATAAATATTTCTTATTAATTTATAAAACATTTAATTTTCATGGACATTTGAGTTTTGAGCAACTGATGAAGATATAGTTGGAAAATTGAAAAAAAACATTATTCTTGACGTGTGACCTGATTAAATTTTAAACTATTATAAAAAATGGATACATGTGTCAATCTTGTATTAAGTGTTCAATTATGTATTACACGAATGGTGATAATTATTTAAAATAATATTTCTGTAATAAGACGATTGTTCATAAGTACGATGGAGATAAGATTTTATCACACAGTAAATGAGTTTTGAATTAATGAAGGATTAATCGATCGGTTTTTATAGACTAAATCTAATAAGTTCTAGATATGTGAATTGAATCAAATCATTTACATTTACAAATCTACAAAATACGAACGAGTGTGTGTGATGGTTGAAATTATTTTGGATCGCAGATCCAGGCCTTGTGTTTTTTTTTTTTACTTCCCGTGTCAATAAATCAGTAAAATTGTGATTGTTATAAAAATTTTTTTTTGCAAGTGTGGAGAAATTATTAACCTTTCTTTTGAGAGCAAGGGCACCCATATAGGGGGCAAGGGAGAGATATGCCCCCCCCCCATGAAAAATGTTAAAAATCATGGAAAATTGTTTACTATGATAAGAATATATTTATTTAAATAGAATTTAAAAATTTAATTTAATATATGAAAATCTATAATTTGTTTATGAAAAATCTATTTATTTATTTATTGAAAAATCAGGTTATCAGCTATAAATAACAATACGCTTTTTCGTTTCTATTCTATGGATAATTATCAATTCTTAAAATATTGTGATTTCCAGAAATACGGTATGTATATGTGTGTGTACACCACCATAATATTTATATAATATTTGTAAATTAATATTTTAATAAATACAACTAATGTTTTAAGTGTCCAATTTATATTATTAATTGAATAAAAATTTCAATAAATTACTTTTATGGTAAATTGGTTAAATAATTATTATTTTATAGTCTTCCAGGTTGATTTATATAATGTAATAGTTTAATGTAAAATTGTAAGACCCTTCCTATACCGTGGGTCATTATTATTTATGAATAGATTAATAAATTAAAATGTTGTCTCCCCTTTGAGAATTTTCTTATGGGCGCCCTTGTTTGAGAGGGCTAAGCTCCCAGTGTACCCAAATATTTGGAGATACACGTTTGCATACACAGAATACATGTATTTAATGAGTAACATATTATTTAGAAATTATGCTATGTAACAATATAATGGATTTCCCCTTATGCATATCATTAAATATTAATTATGAATATAACCAACCAGGTAACAATTTCGAATACTCGATGTAATGATGTTTATTAACTATATTATATATTATTTAAGGGGGTTACCGAGGCATACTATGTGCACCTCACGTTGATCAAACTTTAATGGCATGCAGACATTAAATTTAACAATTTTTTTAAAACGAAACCTCAAAAAAATGCGTAAGAACTTTTTCCACAACAATACTGTTCAGCTCGATAACTGTAAACAAAGTATACAGAGAGAAAAATAAATGTTTCGATCGAAAAACAATATTTGCCGGGCTAGGTTAGGTTATGAAACTGTATAAATCCGTTTCCACGGGTTTTTATGTACGTAAGGGTTTGATTGAAAACGCCAAAAACCAACATTTGGACATCAGATACCAAAAAAAAAAAAAAAAAGGTTTCGTACCTTTCCCCTTTTTGTCATGTATCACGTGATACGCGTTATATCCAATGACGTGACTAACAGGACCTGAATCGATGTGTGTCGTCAGAAGGTTAAGTACATGTGATCAGAGCCGTGTTAAACATTTCAGCGCCCCGGGGCAAAATTTTTTCTACGGGGCCACTGGGCACAGGTAGCATATTAAGTGCAGATAAGGGCACCCCATTACTTTTACAAAACTACGGCGCCCGGGGGCAATTGCCCCCTTTGCCCCCCCCCCCCCTAATACGGCTCTGCATATAATATAATGCGATCATTGCACTGCCTCCCACGATTTTGTACCGGTACGTATTATATCGAATACTCAGTGGATCACATACCAGGCGATTCGAACACACACGTCCGCGTTTTTAAAACTGCTCGAAATTAAACATGCGCCACCAGACGCTACCAAACGTGCACCACATATCTCTGTGCGAACACGACCCATATAAACCCGTATAAGACTGTACGTTGAAAGTTTTGAAATTAAGTTTAATCTGACGGTTTATGGGAATCGATGTACGGGTATAGTGGCGCAACTAGGGGTGGGGTTTTGGATCTCCCAGAAATTTTTCTGAGGTTTTTACAAATTCTATATCGGAAAAAAAAAATGGTTTATCTTGAAGATACGAAATGGCTTATTAATATGAAATATGAATATTATTCGTATTATAATTGATAAAAACAATAATATAATTTATAATTTATTATAACAATAATAACATGACAATACGGAACGTTTTGTAAATTTCCGTTCAACTTTAAAACATCAATAACCTTGCTACAACGATTTCTCGATAGTCGATTGTATAATAGTTTTTTTTTTGTGGTATCACAATGTGAAATAGAAGTTAAATAAACAGTTTAATTTGTAATTTAAATATTTTACTCATAAACCCAACTTAATCTTACTTCCTTATCCCTACCAAACACCTGCAGAAAATGCTTATATTTTCCAAATCCACAACCGTCCCCGAAAACCAATCCTGGTTGTGCCACTGGTTGTACGTGTACTAGATTGGTCGGAACAAAATATTAAAATGCCGTCGCGCGCGTGTGTGTCCAAGGATAGCGAGTCCTCGAACGCACACGACGTACGTACATATTTTATGCAAGCGACGCTGATGTTCCGGTGCACGTGTACTTTTCGAGAACTGTCGTCGAATACGCGTTGTTGTTCATTCGTCGGGGGGAGGGGAGGGAGAATGTCTTTCATGTCTTCGAAATTCCAATTTGGAGTATTGTGTTGCGGTCGGCAACAAAACGGCCGCCTGCAGCCGACGCGCACCTCTGTACAATACGCGCGCGCGCGCGCGTGTATATATATGATAATGATAATAATAATAATAATAATATACGTGTAGGTACATCGCCCGTACGTGTGTGCGGATACGGATACACATACACATAAATACGCACAAATAGTATAATATAACGTGTACCTACACACACACACACGCGTGCATTCATGTTATATTGTACAAGTGTGCAGCAGGCATCGATCCCGGACAGGATACGTTAAGACGCGCATTCTTCAGCTCGGGGCGAGATACGACCGCCGCCGCACACGCATTGGTATTGGGTGTATAATACGTGTACGCGCGCGCGCGCGCGTTCTCACATGACCATTGTGACGAATCCGATCTGCTCGTGCATTCCATTTCAATAGGATCGGAACGAAAATACCTTTTTTCCCTATCCTCCTCCTGCTGCTGCTCCTCCGCCGACCCGACCGTTTTTGTCGCCGCTGTTGCGGCGTCCGAAAGACTCTGGTCGCGCCGCGCGTATTGTAACATACATTAGATGTGTATACCTACAATGCACACACGTACGATACAGGTATACTTAGCGCGGGTATGGGTATAAACCGCGTACCGGCTTCGACCGTACACACACGCACAATAATAGGCATTCACACCTTTATGTGCGCGAAGCACGGGTAGACTTTACAGTGTACAAGATATGTATGTATTACTATACATCGACCGTGTATACGCGTATACGTGTGTGTGTGCGCGCGCGCGCGTATGGGTATACTTTTATCCGCAACATTTTGATCAACGGATGTCGGACCCGGTAATGTCATTCAATACCATTTTACACCTGTTCGATATTCCAAAACGTAGATTAATATATGTATTATACAGGTCAATTATATAACCGATTGTGTTCTATCTTTTGGAAATCGAAAGTAGGTACCCCACAGAGTTCAGAAACTCTTCGTAGAATGTGAATAACCATGCCACAATGTTTTGATACGTACATGGTAATTGTGCAGCCAAATTATATTTTTTTCGCTCCACTGTCCATTTTAATTACTATTTGTTTACTCAGCAGTGAAAACTGTTTAACCGTCTTATGGATAAACGTAAGTAAAGGAAAATAATTGGTACCTACCCCAAACATAATGTTAGGCGGAATAGTGTTTCTAATATGAAAAATATACCTATTTTTTTTTGTTAACAATCAACTGTTCAACACGATTTTCTTTTGCAATATCTAATAACACATTAAGTAATTTCCCTTTGAAATGTTATGACCATACATCAACGTAACAAAAGTCTATTAATGAAAATAAATTTTACGTAAGAAATAGAGGAACATTTGAAATCAGCGGCGATCAAATAATTTTGTCATAGGATGATGAGGCTGATTTTCCAACATGAACTTTGATCAAGTCATAATTTGAGAACATAAGTTTAAAAAATTGAACTAATTTTTATACTACAAACTATAAAAATATGTTTTGAAATAAAATATGGTAGAAGCTGTTGCTGTTTGCATCAGCGAAATAGTTCGTTATTTTAGATTTTGATATAATAAACACTTAATGACTTAGCACAAATAATGAAAATAAAAGCAGATCATATGTACATCAAGGGCGTACCCAAGGGGGGGGGGGTTCGGGTCCGGACCCCCCCAATTCAAATTTCTACATATTCAACGATTTAATAGTAAACATTATAATAATAGTATATAGTGTATTTTAATTTCCCATTATCTTCAATGTACAAAGTTTATAGATTATATAATATACCTATAATGTATAAACCATACTACAGTATATTAACAGTAATTTGTTGGTATTGAGTTAAACTATAATTATAATTAGAGAACAGATAAAATAAAAATTTTGGAGTATTATAATACAATATATATAAATACATTTTCAAAGTGAATACACGATTTTGAAACAACTTCTGCTATAAGTTAATAGCATAGAGTAATTATTCTATGGTTGAAAATTAATAACCATTTTTGTCTGTATTATCACAAAAAAAATTTATATTAAAATTTGTGAATAGTTTTATCAGATCATTTTAAACAAAAATGATCTACATACAGTATATTATTAAAAATAATACAAAATAACAAAAAGTTTATGGAAGGGGGATATATTCTTTTAAACCTCCCCGGCCTCATTTGACCTTCACTGATTGAAATACATATGTTTCTAAAATTATAAACATTTTAAAATTTAATTTTTCACAGGAAACATAAATTAATTTCTGAATATTAATTTTTAAATAAGACTTATACACTGTACATTTATAATACATAATATATTTTAATCAAAATTATTATCATATTAGCTATAATTTACTTTTGTAAGGCTTGGCAATCTTTACAAAGATAAATGTTTAATATTTTAGTTTCATGATTACTATTATATTCTAATTTTAACAATAAGGTACCATCAAGGTAAATAAAGGAAGAGAAATATACCACAAAAATATTTAACCAAAAATATTTATTTTCTAATATTAAATATTGCTATATATATATATATATATATATATAAGAAGAAAATTAATTTAGGCTATGGTAAAAGAGTTATTATGTTTTTGGAATATTCATTATTATTAGTGTAATAATACATAGTTGTATAAAATTATATTACATATTTAAATGTCATTATTCTAATTTTGCAAATATTGAATATAAAAAATAATTAAAAACAAATTTTGAATGAAATAGAATTTTAATTACAATTTAACAATATTATAAAACAGTCTTCAAATAATTATTAAACTTTTCAGTATTAGTCTTAGCTATATTCAAACAAAAATCTAAATCAGTTCCTTTAACTAAATTGAAAAGAGACACATAATTGGGCTTTGTTGGGTCATATTGTGCTCGATTTAAATACTTGAGGTATTCATGTCTTTGTTTGATTCTAAATAAACGACTGGTCAGCACTTGAGGTTCAAGGACAATACGATCATGATTTATGCCCATAATATTATGTATGTAGTTGAAACGTTCAAATAAATGATGTTTAGACATTATATATATCTTAGGTTGAATTAATAACAATCTTTTTCTTTCACTCCTATTAAAACCCATCTCTTCATTTAATGAGAACATTATTAAATTAACTGATTTTTTGGGCCAAGTAATTAATTTTGGTAATTTAGTTACCATATTGCGAACATTATCACCAGAAAGATAGAATTTGGTTTGAAAAAATCCAAGACTTTTATCAATATCAATAGTACTTTGTGACAACCACATTGGATATTTTCGAACTATAGTCGAAATCATTTCTTTGTCAAACTTTTTATGTTGTAGATAGTTAATTCGAGTAATCAAATCATCCATGTGTTCAGTAAATATCATTGGATTTTTGGTTAAAAACTTTCCTATTTCTTCGACTGGAACCCCACAATCATGAATAAATCTTATGTAAGGTTTCATGTCACGTTCAAAATCTAGTTTTAATATTGTCTCCATTATTCTAGGATCATTATCAAATTTGTAAAGTTCAACGCCAAGTTTCACTAATTGCTGTAATGAATGTGAGTCGTTAACATATGCAGCAAGATTAAATGTAGGACGTAATGCAGGACTTATAGTAGAAAAATCAGTAACATTAGTTTCTAATGGAGAAGTAACATAATCTTTAGGCCATTGTATTGGGCTGGTCTGAATATTTTCCAAAGTATTAACAGAGTTACAAAAGCATCTAAATAATACTTTATGCTTATGAATTCTTAAAGAAAGTATCCGTTTAATTAAAATCATGTTGATTCAGGTAATTTACAGTAGGTGGTTGATAATGTAGTAGAATTCCAACATATATGCTTAACTCGAACTCTTTAAGTACAGATGAATGAATCTTCAGTTTACAGTTTAATTCCAACCTGTAAATAAAAACGGTAAATATTTGATTTCACAAATTCAAAAAATGTATTTCTATTAGATATTATTGAAATATAAACATTATCTCCAACATTATCTTCATCTATCAATAGATTTATAGGAATCCAATTAATTTTGTGCATATACCTATTTACTGAAATAACATATTAAAACAGGATCAATTAATTAAATAATCTTGTTAGTATTTTCAAATTTATTATTGGTTTCAATTAATTTTTTTTGAGTGATAATGTTATTTGACTGGCTTATTTATATTTAAAATTAAACAAGATTTAATATTGAAATGTAGTTATCATTAATAGCATAACAGTATGATTAATTACAATGTGATGGTTAGTTTGTGTGCATAAATTATTTATGTTCAATTTTAATAAATGTATATTATATAATTAAAGAATTACATATTTGATATTTGGGTATAACAATATCAATATTATTCCTAACTGATAGAAGTAAAGTGCTATCTTACCGATTCAAAATAAATATTTATGCTAATTGATAAAATACGTATTATCCATAGACTTATTGTGACATTGTTTTAACATTAAATTTTAATTTAAAAATCAAAACTTATAGATTCTGACGGTTCTGTACTCACAAGCTAAGATTTCAAGTTCTGTATTTTTGATAAGACTTCGTGTTATTTTTGTTCACTTATTATGATGATAAATATTAGAGATGAGTAGTTGATAATGTTATCAATAGAATATTTTTTAAAAAAAATGAAGACCGCGTAAAATCGTTTATCACTTTTATCTTCTATCTACTTTTCTTTTGAATTAAGAAAAATAATGTATCAATTACAATACATTTTGGCTATTAAGTTTATGTAACGAATTAAAACTTGGTACAGGCAATAGTATTGTATTTATATATTCATAGTTTTTGTATAAAACAAATGATAAAAAAAAAAAAAACTTGATTGATGGATATAAAATTTATTTAGTTACAATTATTTTTATAAACTTGGTGAATGCTTTTTGTTGTTGATTAGTTATTATTTGATTATAATTTTCATTAAAATGAAAGAAATGAGAAAATTATTATGTACAAGAGATCAAGTGAACTTAAAATGTGTTCTTCTTGGTGGACAGTGTTTCAGGTAAATGAAAATTTATTTTTATATTGTAATTATTATTATAATTTTTCCTTAATTATTGATTACTGTTTATTATTTTATGTGCATATTAATTGATAATTGTTTGCTACATTCTTATAAACTTTATGATAGATACTGATTAACTTTTGATAATGAATAAATATTTAAAAAGTAACATTTAATTGCACAATATGAATATATATATATATATATTTGTATGTATAATTTAAATTATAATCAGGATATTGATACTTTTTGATTATGTGCAAATTTTTATAATTGTTGAACATTATTAGATGGAAAGAAACTGCTCCGGATGAGTATTCAGGAGTATTTGCTGGCGGATTTTGGTTACTACAACAAAATGATGATCACATTGCTTACAAACGACTTCCATCAACAAACTCTGATGAAGAAAGTTTGTGTAACTATCTCAGAATGGATGAGCCATTGGATTTATATTATAAAGAATGGAGCTTATGTGATCCTATTTTTAAAAAATCAGCTGAACGATTTAAAGGAATCAGAATGCTTAAACAAGAACCAGTTGAAAATATACTATCATTTATTTGTTCATCCAATAATAATATTACGAGGTATGTATCCTTTTTATAATGAAAATTAAATGTAAAAAAAATGTATGAATTAATTGTATAAGAAATATTATAGGATTTCATCTATGGTTGAAAAAATGTGCACTTTATACGGTAAAAAAATTGATGGAACAAATTATTATTCATTCCCAACTATTGAAACATTAATCGGAGAAAAAATTGAAGAAGATTTAAAAATTGCAAAATTTGGGTATAGGGCAAAGTTTATTCGACAAACAGCTGAAAAAATGTTTGAATTAGGTAGTGACAAATGGATTGAAAAACTAAAAAATATGGACTATGATAGTGCTAAGAAAGAACTTATGCTGCTACCTGGAGTTGGTCCAAAGGTAAAAAATAAGTTTTAATGATATTTGTTGTATGAATAATATAATATGTGTGGAGTGTTGATTGGATGGACAAAGTAAAACGGAAGTTTCAATAAAAGTATAAATTTCGGTTTAAATTTCGTCATAGAAGCCCCTCTTCTTTGTCTAGTCACTAAAACTTCAAAGAAAAAAGAAAGTCTGCCATTTTCCTCTATAAAAAAAAAAAAAATTAAAAACTACTACACATTTTAACTTTTATTGTATACAATAGTCAATGAATGAATGAATGAACTGTAGTTGTAAATTAAAAAAAAAAAAAATGTATAATAGTTGAAACATAATTTATTATTTATGTTCAGGTTGCAGACTGTATTTGTTTAATGTCCCTTGATCACTTAGAAGCTGTTCCTGTAGATACTCACGTGTTTCAAATTGCTCGTGATAACTATTTACCACATTTGAAAAAATACAAAACAGTTACCCAACAAGTTTATAAAGAAATAGGAGACTGCTTTAGAAATATATTTAAAAAAAATGCTGGTTGGGCTCATACAGTAAGTATTTAATATTTTATTCAGATATTTTATAAAAAACGTTTACCTCATGATTTCTGAAGTAAAATTATTTATTCATTAATATAACTTTATTTAAATAAAACATATCGTGAAAAGAAAATATGTAACAAAAGCCTTAAATCTCTATTACAATCAGAAAATGTAATTTTCAGGTTTTATTCTTGGATGATTTGAAAAGCTTTAAGACAGTGGAAACAAAAATTGATAAATTGGATGGAAAACCCAATGCAAAGAGGATGAAAAAGTTTTGATTTCAATTCCATTTAAAAATCATTTAATTTTTTATACTTTGGACACTTGTTTTGTAATTTTCAATCTTCAATATGTAATAATATATTAAATATTTTAATTGAAAAATAACAACTTGCAACTTACAGAATTTAAAATTAAACATTATTATTTTATATTTACATAAATATCATTTTTATGTTCTTAATATACTTATTTTCTAATTGAAGTAACATTTAATTATTTTGACTCTAGCAACACTGCCAATATATGTAAAAAGTTAGTTTTATACTTTTGCTAAAATTAATTTTAGGTTAAATTTATTAACTATCAAATTTTAAAAATATTAATTTGTATAATTGTAAGGTTATTTTTAAAAAATATAAAAAAAAATAAATCATTAAATAACCACTTATATTGAATTTAAAATTTAAAAAAAAATATCATAACATAGCACTGTAAATGTTTTTATCTATAAATTTAAAAGTAAGTAAATTTACTCTTATGTTAATTTACTTTCATTATAAATGTATTTAAAATATGTAAAACAAAAGAAAAAAAATAAAATAAAATAAAATCATTAAAAAATATAGAGTGAATTATTATTGAAGTAATAAATTAATGTATTGTATCAAATTATAATGTATATGCAGGCGTGTAGTTAAGTTTAATAACCTAATTAGTGCTATAAGGTTACTTGTATTTAAAAATAAATGTAAGCTAACTATTGTGTTTTATATCATAATGATATTTCAAATCTTATATTGTAATGTCCTTCACTTCATTAAAAAAAAAAAATTGATAGTATTTTGATGAAACCATATTTATTGTTCATGAACTATTAGTAGTTATTTTAAAATATGTTATTAATTGTTTAACTATGAATGTTATAAGTTGTGAAAAGTTCCCATTGTTAGAAATGTTTTTTTATTACAATTTTTTATGTAGTTATTATTATTTATTTTATATTTTCTATGGATTCTTTAAAAAATCTTATTATCTTAAGCTTGTAAATTAAATATCTGTTGTACACATTGTATATGCTTTATTGCAGGGGTCTTCAACCCCCGGCCCGCCATTTCATAATATGCGACATTTAAATTTAGCATTTACATTTTCTAGTTCAATAAAATTATAACAGTTAAGCTATCGCTATCAGAAATATGCGTTAAGATAAATTGAATTACCTACCAATATATAATTATTATTGTCTGTTAGTTCGTAATCGATTGTGGAATGAGCACAATATTCTCGTTTACGTGTAAAAGTTTTAATTTCATATTTTTTCTACGTAATATTTGTACAATATGTCGGTAAGTAAAAAACGTAAAATCTCGGATGAAAGACGCGTTTTTCAAGAAAAATGTTCCAATAGCAATTTTTTTAAATTAATAAATTTACTAATTTGTAATTTTAAATGTACCTACCTAATTTTAAAAATTGTAAGAATAAAACTGAATTTTTATATATAATACATGTTTTTATTACGAATGCGGCCCGCAAGATTTAAAAAAAAATAATATGTGGCCTGCTGCATAAAAAGGTTGAAGACCCCTGCTCTATTGTATGAATTACATATACTTTCTGTAACATTTCAGCCATACCCATGATTGTAAGAGTAGAATATGTTTATATAATAAAATCAAAATAATTTTTCTTGCATATTTTTCTTCATTCAACTTGTCCAATTTTTTATTTGAAGAACGACTAAACCATACACATACTTCCTCATCATATTCATGTAGTACTTGAACAAAAAACAAGTGGGAATTAAAAAAAAATCTTCACTAAGTAATGCTCAGATACACATCATTAATATTCATTGTTTGAAGGTAAGTTTTTTTTTTCGTACATAAAAATTATTAATTTTTTTTTTTTCGATAAGTTACCTACTAAATATATATTTGTTGTTTAGATTATACACATCCATAACATATTTAACCTACCTATCTATATATATATATATACTTTCCTACAAAGTGTATTATAAGTATGACATCAGATTATATTCTTGGTATGTTTTTGAAATAAAATCTTATATAATAGTTACCATAGTTATCCTAACTAATTTTCAGGAATTTTAGCATCCCACAACTCAATGGCATCATTTGGGGGAGGGGAGCAGACTATGGCAAATGCCCCACTCTAAGAAATTTTAAAAAGTCGGCAATTCTTTGTCCGATGATCAAATGCTAAAATCGGTAAATAGTAAATTTTTATTTACTATTTTGTACTAGGAAATTAAATAATATTAAACGTTTACGGTTTATTAAAAGTTGGGAAACACTGACTCCTCCCCGGTTTATAACGATCGTTGTTACGCGAACCTTATAAACTTTATTTTTGGTGTATTATATATTTCTATATATGTAATCTTTATAAAACAGTTTTCGTGATATCAATAATGTTAAAATTAACCTCATAAACTATAAAAACCGTTAAAATCGTTCCTATTCACCCCAAACCACGGTACATTATATTTGAGATACCTACAATTTAATGTTTTTATAAATAAGTTCTGTAAAGTTTTAAATATATAAATAATAAAATATTTATTTAATTAGATTTATATTATTATTCCATTAAATCTTCTGATTGGTAAATTATAGCCTATAGGATAAGTAAATTAATTAATGTTTTATTATCTTTAACGTTATTATTTAAATGGGTAAACTGAAAGTTTCAATTTACTTAATTTCAACGTTTCATGTTATTTTATTATAATATGACATCATTATTCATTACTAATCTTTACATGTTTTGTTTCGAAAAAATATTTTATTGATAGTCTATGGTCCATAAATAATAAATATTTAATATACCGGTAACCATAATTTTTTAAACATTATGAAGTCGGCAAATTTAACCAGTTGCCCCACCCTTTCAAAAGTTTAAATGATGCCCCTACTATTATTACGTTATAATTATAACGCTTAACAAGTTTTGGGACGCTTTTTTTGTTTAAGTAAATAGAGTCCCCCATCTTTAATTTTGCTAAGTCGAGCACTGTGTATAGGAGGTAATGATTAATCTTTAATTTATTCACTTTTTAACATTTTTTATTTTATTTAAATTTTTTTTTTGTATTCATACTTTCATATAGATAATGTAAGTGACATTAGAGTATTTTTGAATATAACTATAGAGCTTGCCTCTGATAAAACATTACTCAGCAATTTATATTCAAATACACATACCTATAGTTTTTCTAACTCTGCTAAGTGTGCCCAGCTGTGTGTTAGAGCAAAGTTCCATTTATGTCACTACCGTATAGGGTGTTGGTTCTTGTTTCATAATAATATATTTTTACCTCGGTACAACCATTTAAATGGATTTTAAAAAAAATGTGCTGATCGCTAAATAGGAATAATTAAATTTTTTCGGCACGAAGAAAATATATATTTGTGTAGCGCGTTAATATTGAATTTGTACAGGCTTATCTCTTGTCAAAGTGTAGAAAACTATTGTAGTGGAATAAAATGTATATGCCGACGTGTCACATAAACCATACCTATATTGTGTAAAATATTTTATCTAACACAATGTTGACCTTCGCGATTTTAGATTCTTTCGAAATATGATCAACGTGTGTTTCATTGGTTGGATATATCATTATTCACAGTAATTGTGCAGCTAAGTATTCAAAACGCATAGATGGACAGTAAGTATACAATTTTATTCATAATCCGATTTTGTCATTGTTTATGTTGGAAAGCGAGTACGACTGTGTCCGCCATTGAATGTAGATGCCCACAGCATCAATACATTGTAATTGCTTTATTTACAGCTAATATTAACAATGTTAGACTATATCAAACTATTTATTTGTAAATATTTTGTTCTTTTAGAAGGTCAGACGATTAAAATAAAATGCATTATTTTTCTGATTTTATGGAATAGATACGGTTTGTTGTTTGGTTAGTTATTTTATTATACCAATCGATACAATACACTACCATTGATTGTGAAATAGTATATTTTATAATCAATACTGTTACCCACATAAAATAAGACCAGTGATTAATTGCCCTTATTGACCTCCCGACTACGGCAGGGCCTACAATTGTGCGCAGTGGCACACACCATGTGCAGTAGCTAATAAGAAATGTGCAGCACTTTTTATCGGATTTTTTAGATTTTTATTTGATTAATATTGAAAATTTGAATGTGTTCATTTCAAATCCTTAACATTAACAGTAGGTAAAAAAAGTTATATTTCTATGTTAACATTTAATTTATGCTGATTTATTGCTTTACATTCTAATAAATTTCGTTCAACATTCCAAGACTAAAAGGTGGTCTTATAGTGTATTTATAATAATTAATATATAAATAAGAAAAACAAATAATTTCTATATAGAAATAAATGAATATAATATTATTCTGCTGTACTACATATTTGTAAAGTACGACCTGTTTCGAATTTGAAAAAATACACCGTCAGGTACCTATATACAAAGTTAATAAATTACGACTGAATATGAAAAAAAAAAAAAATACTAGTTGCGATTTTATTTTATATCTGATGATGAATTTCGAAATTGGTTGCACTTTACAAATACAATACTACTCTAGGCTAAGCTTTTATTTATTTGTTTCTGTATGTAAACCATTTATTTATTTATTTATACATTGTTTTATGAGTATTACCGTAACCATTTAATAATTTTTAGTTTTTTTACATTTTTTATTATTTTTTATTCCAATAATTAATTAGATATTATTAAATACCGAAAAAAATTATGCAACGAAGTCATGTGTGCACTGGTTCATCGGTTTAAAAAATTTTGGTGTGTGGTATTAGGTGTGCAGTAGCAAAAAACGCGAATTTTAGGCGCTGTACAACTGCAATGTTCTTGTGCTTGTAGAACAATTAAAACCGGTGGCATCATTTTTTGGGAAGGGGGGAGGGTGCATAACTGATGCACTTGTCACAGTCTAGAGTCTAGCTAATCCAAAGTTGGTTCGTCGAAATACAAACGCGTTTTTAATAAAGCCATTGACATGATGTAATTCAGTAAAATGATGTATAACATATAATTCAGTGGCGCAACCAGGGGGGTGGACTCCGGGTCTGGACCCCCCCTTGGTACGTATAATAGTATATTAATATCATATTCTAGATATATATATTATAATTTTTTATTATTTGTATATTAGTTTATATTGTCAGACCCCCCCCCCATGAAAAATTCCTGATTGCGCTACTGATATAATTACTAAGGTAACACTGACCCGCGGGGGTTACGCCTATCATACCAATCTGTTAATTTACATACGGACAATATTTGTCACTACTGTGGGTCGAGTTCAAATTTTATCAAGAAGACGAAGAAACAAGAAGTAAAACGAAAGTCATAATTCACAGAGTTTAAACTTCGCGAAAATTATTTCGCGTATTGAGATCATAGATATTAGACGATTAGATTTGATCTCGATAAAAATGATTCTCGATTGCAAAAAATATAGATACCGCACAGGCGCAACCTATAAGAGAACACTCGGGGGAGCTTAGCGCCCCTAAATATTTCCATAGCACTCCCGGATTAAAAATAATGAATCTTAAAATTTCGTGTTGGTTATACGAAATTGTCCGTGTTTTTTCGTTAACGTTTGATTTCCAAAACATTAACATTTTACGTGAAACCACAATGAACACGTGATACGTATAAAATTACTATAAAAGTGTAATGATTATATTGTGAAAACGAAAAAATTTTGGCGAAAAACGAATACGATTTATATTACCACGGAGCAACTATATATTAAGCTATTTTTATTACTTTGACGGGTGTGTAAATATCGCATCGGAAGGTAATTTTTAAGTTCATGTATTGGCCACACTGCATTCTGACCAATTTTCCAATTGATTTTCCACCATTTTTCCACTCTTATCTCCGACCAAGTAATTTGAATCATCTTCATTCTAGTAGTGACGTAATGTTATTGAATTTTTTGTGACTCTAGAAGATCGTCGTTAAGATTGCCGTTTAGCGGAGGCTGTTGGTCTAATATTTCTGAGGTGGTTTACGAATAATCAAATATGGCTCTGAAAGCTGTTGTTGGACAAAGTAAGATAATATTTGTGCTGCTGCACATCGCTGTATATATGGTCTATTATTTTGTCTGATACGACTGTTAATTATTAAATCGTATTATTCGTTGCATAGAAATCATGAATGAGGTTATCAAACAGAAAGGGTCGAAAAAAGGTGCCGATAAAGGTGGTATAGAATGGCGCGTTATGGTGGTTGACCAACTGGCGATGCGAATGATATCAGCTTGCTGTAAGATGCACGAAATCTCGGCCGAAGGGATAACTAGTAAGTGTTCATTTTACATATAATTTTAATATTTTAATAGATTGTAAAGAAAAATAGTAAAAAAAAATTTTCACAGTTGTGGAAGATTTGCAAAAGAAACGTGAACCATTGGCTACATTAGAAGCTGTGTACTTAATAACTCCCAGTGAAAAATCCGTAGCTGCTCTTATTAGAGATTTCTCTAGTCCTGGAAAATCCATGTATAAAGCTGCTCATGTTTATTTTACTGAAGGTAAGATTCTTTTGTCTAATAGTTTGATTTATTCTGTAACAATCAAATGTTAGATTAATTTTTTGATCCTCCAAGTATAATCAACTAAATGATCTTTAATTATTTGTTGAAGTTGGTTTATAATATTTTAAAAATTTATCTTCTCTAAGTCAAATTGTTAAATTTTTCTTTTATAATACAATTTTAGCATGCCCCGATGAGTTATTCAACAAATTAAGTTTGTCTCCAGTCGCAAAATTCATTAAAACTTTGGTGGAAATTAACATAGCGTTTATAGCATATGAACAACAGGTAACATTTTATGAAAACCAATGGTGGAAGTTGTTCTTGGGTATTAACTATAATAATTTAAACTAACAAATATATGTGATATCACACATTGATTTATTGGGACAATTTATTTTCACTTTTTTTGGAGATGTATTACTATCTTTGGTTTTGGTTCTTTAATGAAATTATGTAATGTGGTGTATTGATGTATGATTAATTAATTTATTATTGGCTGTAAACTAAAATAGGCTGAATTACTTGCATAACACGGAAAAACTAAAATCTAACCTTTGTTTGCTATTAATAAACTATTTTTGTTTTCTTTTAACATACTAATATGGTATTATTTTATTGCTTAATTAAAAAAAAAAAAGTGTGTCAAGAAGAACTCTTTAATGAACTGTGCAAATCAATAGCTGCCAAAAAAATAAAAACACTCAGAGAGATTAACATCGCTTTTCTACCTTATGAGCGTCAGGTGTGTGTTAGTTTAACATATTTAAGTGCCTATTTTATGCTTTGTTTTTCACTTAAAATAGTTTTATTATTTGTATATTATTAATGAAGTTTTGCAATTAATATCATTTTTTGTGCTTTCTTAGGTATTTTCTTTAGATTCCCGTGAAACTTTTCAGTGTTACTATAATCCTTTGTTAGTAAGCAGTCGTGTACCTAATATGGAGCGCATAGCAGAACAAATTGCTACTGTTTGTGCTACATTAGGAGAATATCCATCAGTACGATATAGAAGTGACTTTGAACGCAATGCTGAATTAGCTCAGATTGTTCAGCAAAAATTAGATGCTTACAAAGCTGATGAACCAACAATGGGCGAAGGTCCAGAAAAAGCTCGTTCACAATTAATTATACTTGATAGGGGATTTGATTGTGTATCTCCAGTTTTACATGAGCTCACTTTTCAAGCTATGGCTTATGATCTTTTGCCAATAGAAAATGATGTCTATAAGTAAGTGATCATATTTTTGTAACATTTTAATGTGATTTAAATTTTTTTTTTTATAAAGGTATGAAGCCACTGCAGGAGCCGCTTTTAAAGAAGTGTTGTTGGATGAAAATGATGAACTATGGGTAGAGCTAAGACATCAACATATTGCTGTTGTATCTACGTAAGTATATAAACATGACTTGCTTCCTTGATAACTAACACCCTTTATACCTATATATTTTCAATTTATATTATTAGAAACGTGACTAAGAATTTAAAGAAATTCATTGACTCTAAACGCATGTCAGCTGTTGGTGAAAGTAAATCTTCCATGCGTGATTTGTCTACCATGATTAAGAAGATGCCTCAATATCAAAAAGAATTGAGTAAATATTCTACTCATTTACATTTGGCTGAAGACTGCATGAAGTGTTATCAAGGACATGTCGATAGACTGTGTAAAGTGGAACAAGATCTTGCTATGGGTACAGATGCTGAGGGCGAGAAAATCAAAGATCATATGAGGTGCATTGTACCAATATTATTGGATCAGAATATTTCCAGTAATGACAAGATGAGAATCATCATACTGTATGTTTTGTCTAAGAATGGAATATCTGAAGAGAATCTTAATAAACTGGTACAGCATGCTCAGTTATCACCAGCTGATAAACAAGCTATTGTAAATTTGAATTTACTTGGTATCAACACTATTGTAGATGTAAGGATATCTAATGGCGATGCTATTTTTGTCTGTTTTGAATACATATGTATATGATCTTTTTTTATATTAGGGTAACAGGAAAAAACAATACCAAATAACACGTAAAGAGCGCATCACAGAGCAGACATATCAAATGTCTCGTTGGACACCTGTGATCAAAGATTTAATGGAAGACTGTATTGAAGACAAATTGGATGCCAAACATTTTCCTTTTCTAGCTGGTAGAGCTGCTTCATCTGGTTACCATGCACCTACTAGGTATATATATATGATACTTGAGTGTACATTTTTATGTGCCAACTCTAAAAATTGTTAAAGAAAATAATTATTTTACTTAATAATTTTTAAGTTTAAATAATAACATAGTTTTATTTCAGTATTTTATTATATTTATTCTTAACTCAAACCTAAAAACAATTTTACAAATCATTAAGAATGTTATTTTGTTAATTGATAATAATAATACTGAAATTATTAAATCTAGCTGTTCTTTTCATGGAATAAATACTTTGATTTTTTTATTAGTCAGGTATTTATTTATATTTTAATTGTATTTGACATTGTTAAATTATTTTAAAAATGTATACAGACTGTATATCATGTGTGTGTGTGAGTGTGTACATTTATTATTGAATATTTAAAATTTACAAATTTTAAACTTATGTTTATAATCTAATACAAAAATTAATATCTAAAAATGAAATATTGGTGTTTTGTAGTGCACGATATGGACACTGGCATAAGGATAAAGGTCAACAATTAATCAAAAATGTACCCAGAGTTATAGTGTTTGTGATTGGAGGAGTTAGCTTTTCTGAAATCAGATGTGCATACGAAGTAACAAATAATTTCAAAAACTGGGAAGTTATAATAGGTATGATTTTTATAAAAACAACTTATGTATTTTTATATTTATGAATTTTTTTTGATTTTTGTATAGGTTCATCACATGTCCTTACTCCTGAAGACTTTCTTAACAACTTGTCTGCCTTGAGTCAATAAGTATTGTCCATTTCTTCCACTCATCACACTGTTATTCTTTCGAAATATTAATGTAGCCTTAAATGTGACATTAAAAAAAAATTAAATAATAATATAGTATAGGGTTAATACTAGTCGAAAAATAGTAAAATGCCCTCAAAAACTAACTAGTTATTTATGAGTTTCAAGAACTTAACAGTATTTATATTTATTGAAAAACTTATTTTTTTCAAATTATTCTTTAATCTAGCTTTTTAACGCTATTTACTCAATCTTATAACCACATTGTATTAAATTTGTATTTTATAATATTAGTTATTATTTGTTATTTATTAAAATTATTAATTTTACTCGGTAATTAAGTTAGTCATTTGAATAACTTTCATTATTATTGTTATTGTATTTTATTTATTATTATAGTTTTCAATAATTTATAATATATATTATGTATGTGTTAGACATAATTATTTCTTTACGGACATTCCGCATTTATATAAACATTAACTTATCTATTGAATTTTATCACATTTTTAACCATATTATTAATTAGATGATTTGAATAAATTCTTTAACTATTAAATTGTTTATTTAATTTAAGTCGGTTATAATTCTTTCTTATGGTTTGACTAATTATGTTTTTTTTTTTTTTAAATTTTTACTTCCAGCGTTTTATAATATGTTAATTATTGTCCAGCCTAACATTGTTATAGCACTTATCGAGCTTTAAAATATGTATACTTATATACATATAATGCCTAAATGTTTTGGATAAATATAGATATGTATAATTGCCTTTTATTATTAGAAAATACATGCAAAAAGTATTTGTTACAGTGAAACCTCAAGAAACCTCAATTATTTAATAACTTACTTTTTTCCTTGCATAAATGACCTTATCTTAATCAGAATTTTATACTCGGTGCATAATGTATTGAGGTTTCACTGTATTACCTTTTTCATTTAACTATTAATAGTAATAGTTTATTATTGTGGTAAGAAATTATTTTAATACTTCCCTTTTATATTAATTATTAAATTTAAAGTACAAATATAAAAAAAATTCAAGTATTCTTTGGTTTTAGATGTATTAAACAAACATTTTATGTACATGATGAATATTACTCAAGTCTTAGTCAATAATTTGAAATTTTTGAGTCCGTCTGTTTTTCTATTTTATTCAATTTAACTGTCATATTTCATATTTGTTTTTCTATATTATTTAATTTAACATGTACTCGATTAGGTATAAAATAAATAAAAGATTTGAATTTGAGAGCAAGTTCATAAAAAAAAAAAAAAAAAAATGATTTCGGTCATAATTATACTTTTAACTTATTTACCAGCAATAATTATATAACTTTAAAATTAAATTATTTGAAAATTAATTTCCATACAATTTCAAAATTTTGTTGCAATTGTTGAATTTAAGACCAAAAATGAAATCCACTAATTATAGTTGGGTCCATTATATTATATGTTAAATAATAAATTATTGGGTCTTAATTCAAATCTTTATATTATTATTTCTTTATAATTTAGCATAGTTAATTTCTATTTTTAATAGTTTCACTTAATTTATAATTGTTATTCTCATAAATTTAGTGAATATTTTCTATGTGATATTGGATAGTTAGATTTTGTTAATGTCTAATATTATAGATAATAAAATATTAATTATCGCCTGATGTTAACTTCGTTTTATCTTAATAATTATTAAATATATACTAAATATTTTAGTTGTTATTAATGTATATATGTAGATATTAGAACCAACTAGTCTTGGTACATTTTTGGATTTATTTGATTTTTATCAGTTTTAAAGTTTATTATAAATAAACAACTAAATAGTAGAAGAAAAATGTTGCGTGCAATTTTTAATAATGTTTCAAATAGATCGATTATTGTGTACAGGGAAGAAAATATACAATTTTAAAACCATGAGTTGCAAAAAATGTGAAACAATAAAAATTGTTGATTAACATGAATTTAAATTTAAATTTACGTTATTAAATTAAGAAACGTCAGAAAATGTCATGTTTTATTAGTTTAAATTTTCTTTTATGTATTGATTGATATGGAATTTTAAATCGTGAAATAATTGGATAAGATTGAAGAAAAAAAAAATATTAATAATAAACTATCAGGGCCGTCGAGAGGGGGCAGAGGCATTGGGACTATTTTGCCCCAGGCCCCAAATTTTTGGTGACCACAACATCCATTGATTTTTTTGTGAAGTATGGTAGAGTAAGCTGTTTCAAGTTATACATTGTAATTAATATTTAACAAATAATTGAGTTCTATAATTAGTCACATTTTAATTTTTTTATTTGCGTAATAGCGTTTGTACAAAAAGTACTTATAACTTGTAATTAATGATAATCCTTAAAAATGAAGCGCGCAATGACCAAAATAGATGTTTTATTAAGAATAATAATTGATGATCAGTGCGGCACTGATATCATCGCGAAGCGGCCGCGATAACCTCAGGATTTAAACAATAATATCAAACATGGTATTTCTCGCATTACAATATAAAATATTCATTTTGAGTATTGACTGTTGTTTTTCTTTCAGTTTTCAACTGAAGAATAAGCAAAAAGAACCGTACAGTTCATAACTAGTAAGTAATAATTTATACAAAACACTGTTCCTACCTGAAGTATTTGTACAGTTGTATATTCTGTGGTTGTACATATTTAAAAAAACTTCAGAGGCAAGAGTTTATGCAACGAAAAAAAAACGTTATTAAATTATACATATATAATTGAAGCCATGAGTTTTTCCAACAAATTGCGTACAATCTCTGAATTTTTAATTATTTGTATTCTAAATGCACATAATAAATAATATTTATGAATTTCTAGTAATTTATTTAAATCAATTTTATTTTATTGGAGGGGGTTAAAACCCCATAACCGCCCCGGGCTTGCAACTGTAGGCACTATGCTATAAGATGCTCTGGGCCCCACTAAACCTAACGACGGTCCTGTAATCAATGCACTGTGACCAGTGCCGTAACTAAAGCACTCGGGATCTGTGTGCAAATATAAATCTTGAGGCTCCTTATCATTATAAATTGTTGAGCTTTTGATTGTTCGACGCCCCATAACATAGTACAAGGCCCGGGCGAGTGGCGTAGCCAGGATTTTTAAATGGGGGGGGGCTAACCTTTTTTTTTGGATAAGTAAGGTAAGAGATGATATGAGAATTCACTCTTAACCCCCCCCCCCACCATCTACCACCAAGTTTCTAAACGTAATTCAAGCATTTTAGTATAGTTTTAAAAATATTTATTAATATATAATTTATAATAATAATAATAATTATTTTGGTTTCAGTGTTCAGTCACTTGCTCCACTCTGACAGTTGCATTCTCTTAGGCGAATTTCTGGCAAATTCAGTTATTATTTCACTTTCATGGAATTGCTCTTTTTTATTTATATTAGCCATAGCTAACCCATTCAGTCTGTTTTCCGACATGGTGCTTCTTAAAAAAAATTTTAAGCGATTAAGTGCTGAAAACGTTCTTTCCAGAGCGAAAGAGGTAACTGGTAACGTGGCGAATAATTGTAAAAGTATTTTAATGTTAGGTCGAAGATTGGTGCGATGAGAGAGTGAATCAAGAGCAGAATTCGGTTTTGGAATAGTATTTTGACTCCAATGTTGCCTCCATATGAACAGGTCAGCCATGATTGTAGATGAGGTATCATCATGGAGATCTTGGACATATATTTTAGCAGCTTTTATAATATTTTTATCGTCATACATATTTAAATTGGCCGGAATAAGTCCTTCAAGTGGCATAA